TTCATTCCTTCTCCCTGACTCAAGTTCAAACTTCAGATCTCCAAATTGGATTGGAGTTTTAACTGCTGACAGCAGTTTATTTTTTGTAAAGGTCTTCCTTTTTTTATTGGCCAAGAAAAAGATGACCAGTTTTTTTCCTTTTGAAAGTTCACTTTTAGAAGCATATGTTTCTATTCTTATTAACCTTTTTATGTGAAGGAAAGTTATAATCAGCACATTGTCTGCAGTTAGTATTTCATGCAAAGAAAATTTTTCGCTACAAAAAGCACCATCAAGTGTTGCCTTTTAAAAGCACAAAATACTATAAGTTTATAATACAAAATGGTGTTTGATTCTGCCTGTTCTGTTGTTCTGTGATGGAGCATTTTGTCCTAAATTGCAAGGGAAGTTCTTGTTATTGGCAGTGGCATGGTTAATGAATTCTCAATTACACTGACAAGAACTTTGTGTGGGAGCTTTTTACAATACAGGCTTCAGTGGAGAGAGAGATATGCCATCCCCATCAATAGGGAAAGATAATCAGAAGGTTGCTGTAGTTCCTAATTGCATGTCATTGTGAGATTGATTTAATGTTGTGATGGACTTTTCTTTGTGTAATGTCCATCGACATTTTACAGGGAATGGCAGATGGGCACCTGAAGTGTGGCATTGAAAATGTGACTGGTGGTATTCCTTGGCTTCCAGAAGTCAGTTCAGTGAATAAGAGTGTCTCTTTACAAGAGACTGAAAATATGAAACCTGGCCTTGGATTGGCATGTGCCTTTAAAGAATTTCAGCAATTTGAGTTATTTTTCTCAAAGTTCATCTCTGTTGCAAGAGAATTCTCCCTACCTCCTGAAAGGCATGGATTTGGTCTCATATCTAATAGATCATTGCTTTCATCTCTTGGTGTTGGAGTCTCTGGCTCATGGTTGGCAGTGCTTTCCTTTAGTGGATGTCCCGGTTGTTCAATGATTCTCAAAGATGGTGATGCGCTCATACATGCTCTACAGTTGGATAATTCAGTCGTGCGAGAGGTATGACTTTTTATCTTGTTGACTTTTACACCATGTTTTTTATTAGAACCTTCTGAGATATTGGTGAATTTAGACTCATTTTAAATTAAATATATTCTTGATGCTATATTCTAGTATATGCCTTTGTTTTTAAACTCCCCATGCTTGTGCTCCTCATCTCCCTTCCCTTGAGGGAAAAAATGGTATCTTTGTGAGTGACAAGACTTATTAGATTTAGTACACTCATATAGCTTTTATGTTTTACTAGGTTGGGAAATATGAATGCTAAATGAAACACAATCTGGTTTGAAGGATCAAGAATACATTGGAAATATATGCGATATATGAGCTCCTTTTCCTCTTTACTTAGTTACTGCTGCTGTAATCATTTTTAGGCCAGATACTGGTATCGTTATTATTACTTTACATTTCTGAATCATGTGTTATTACCAATGGCATAAATTATACACATATCCTAGGTTCGGTGAAATTTCATGCAAAATCAGGTGATTTTCAACTGCCATTCTCTTTTATTTTGCCCACTTATCTGATTATACTTTTAAGTAGTTAACTAGTTTCTTTTCCTGTTTTCATGAATCATTATTTTTGTTGGGTATGTTTTATATATTGATTTTCTTGGTCCTCTCTCATACCATATAGCTAGATGTTGATGGGCAAGATCTTGAGCCAGCTTTACCTGCAAATAAACCATCAGTGATTCTCTTTGTTGATAGATCATCTGATTCATCAGAAACCAGAAGAAAAGGTAAGGAAGCTCTTGATGCTCTTAGAGAACTAGCAGTTCACAATCAGATGTCTGATCAGATTGGGACACAAAGTGTTCACCAACTAGACAAATGGTCAGTCCAAGCCTACCAAGAATTGAAAGAGAAACATCCTATACTACGGCTATCTTCAACTGCTCAGAAGAGTAAATTAAAGGATAAGATGTCAGTCATGATTATAAATGAGGGTAAGCATGTCTCTCTAGATAAGATTGGTTTAGATTTACAAGGTAGTTCCTTGCATGAAGTCTTCGCACAAATTCTTCAAAGAAGTAAGGAAGCCAAATTAAGCTCTCTAGCAAAGGAATTAGGTTTTCATCTTCTATCAGATGATTTTCACCTCAAAATGGAAGGGGCATCAACATCAGAAACAAAAGTTGAGTCTAATGTTGGCTCAACATCACCTTCTATGGAAGGTCCTGTGACAAGCATTATTGATTCAGGCAGGGATCAGACATCATTTACAGAAAGCAAATCAGGCATGGAGGAGGACAAAAACTTGAAAGTTGCTGATGTCAAACCTTCTTATTATGATGCAAACAAGATAGCTTCTGCTGATGCAAGTGAAGAGTTGGTATCTTTACAACCAGACAAAGTTCTGGTAGATCTTGAGCTTGATATGAATGACAATGTGAATGTGGAAAAAGAAAGCTTTTCAGAGGCAGATAAGTCAGCAGAACAAGAGATCAAATTTGAAGGTTTTAAAGTTTCCTTTTTCTTTAGTGACAGCAACTACAGGTTACTTAGATCTTTGACTGGCAGGTCCTTAGTTCCATCTTTGGTTATTGTTGATCCCATATCAAAGCAACATTATGTCTTCCCTGAAGACACAAATTTCAACTATTTTTCACTGTCCAATTTTCTGCATGGATACTTTAATGGAGGTCTTGTTCCTTATCAACAGTCAGAGTCCATTGTTCAAAGCCCTAGGCAAGCCGTTCCTCCTCCATTTGTTAATCTGGATTTTCATGAGACAGATTCTATTCCTCAAGTTACAACTCACACTTTCTCTAAGTTCCTTTTTGATTTAAAGCAATCTGACAATGATAACTCTACACATGCTTGGAAAGAGGATGTTGTGGTACTATTTAGCAGCAGTTGGTGTGGTTTTTGCCAGCGAATGGAATTGGTTGTTCGTGAACTATATCGGGCAATAAAAGGCTACATGAAGATGTTGAAGGGTGACTCTGGGAAGGAACAAACAATTTTTAGTGCTGGTAAGTGCTTTGCAGTTTTATTTATTTTCTTGTAGTCAGTGATTCTTGTATCTTGCTTCTTGCATTTAGACCATCTGTATATTTAGACCTTGTCATCAGTGATTCTTGTATCTTGCTTATTGCTTCAAATGGGTGACTTCAATTTTACACCATAATGAAACTAGTCATGTTATGTTGGTTGGACTTTGTAGAAGACTATAGAAGTTATCTTTGCTTTAAAATTGCTACCAGGTACCTTAAGGCAAGGACAACTTTTCCTTGAATCTTTGAATGGAGAAGAGTCTTTTCCTTTCTTGTATTTGTTGTGTTTGAATTATGAGCCGTAGGTCTTCAGTAAATTTCTTGATTGATTTTGACTTTCTAGTGGATAATTCATGTTATTCATTTCTCAGCCATTCATGGTCTTCTTGGATCCAATTAATTTTGATGTTCCTTATCATTTTCATTTTTTGGGAATGTATCTTCCCCATTTTCACTTTTGGAGGTGCATCCCCATCTTTATGTATTTTTTTAACAACTCTGTCTAGACAATTCATTTGTGGAACCAATGATCAACATTCTATGACTACTCAAATTTTAGAAATATGAGATTGATTTATCTTTTAGTTTTAGTTTTGTTTTTATTAATCAAAGTTTCTTTGCATATGCATTTAAATAAGAACTTTTTGTCATAAATATTTATGATTTGACAATGATATATTTTTGGCAGACAACTCAATGAATATGAAACTACCACTTATTTATTTGATGGATTGCACATTGAACGACTGCAGTTATATCCTCAAATCAATTAACCAGGTAAGTTAAGGAATCCATATCTTATTTCTCTGTGAAATATGGTAATCTTTTCCCTGTATTTCCATTTTGCTGTGTTAACTGTTGACTTTTTTGGTGGGTGATCTAACTGAAAGGATTCACTGGAAAGATTTCTTGCATCTAACACTTGACTTACTTTCTTAGTTTCCTTTTGGGAGTTCATCCTGAAGAAGGGGAAAAACAGCAGAAGCACCAACTCTCAATATACTTTTGTTTCTTGCCACTTAACTATGATTCTAGTCAGTTCTAGGTACCTGTACGTCAAAAAGGCAACATAGGTGTATGATTTCATTGAGGGAGAGTTTTATCATTTGTTGCAAACGTTGACAAATGGGACAATATCATTCTTGCAATAATTGGTTTCCCTTCAAAGGGTGTTTATGTTCTCAATTGTCTGGCTTTTCCCTTGTATTTTCTGGAAATGTTCTTTGATGTTTTCTTGGCAAAGAGCCTGGTTCTGCTTTGTCTTTCTAAAGTTTTTGTTGGAGGTTTTCAATCTATAATAAACAAATATCTTATTCACTGGCTAAGGCAGTTCGTGTCACAGGCTTGTTGGAGAGTGATAACTCTGTTTGGATTGGACACCGTTATGAGTTATTTATAATTTGCCATATGCTAGACTGCCTCTAATCTTTAGATTGTTCAAACAAGCCTTAGGGATCCTTTTTGCAAACTAAACTTGATGCAGGGAAGGTGGGGGTAGAACAAACAGAAACTAAGAACTCCGTAAAATTAAAGATGGAACCAAGAAAACTTAGGTTTTCAACCTCAAGTTTATTCTGAAACTAACATTTCATAACAAAAAACTGATTTAGAGATCTAAAGATAACTATATGTACTAACAATAGCTAAGAATCCTAATTCAATTCTAATTTGAACTTTTAATAAGCATTGAACTTCTAATAGGCTACTAATTCTAATCCTAATTTAAAAATGACTTTCCTAAAATTACGACTTAGATTTCAAATAAAACTCAAACTTAATGCAAAGCAAACAACCCTAAAACTAATCATTAAAAAGAGCTCTATGCTCCTGCATCATTCTCCCTGGGTTGGAAATTGTGCTAGGTTCAAATTGAAGGTCTTGTTTTTAGCATATTTATCTGGAGCAGTTTTCTTCCATAAAGTTCTCCAAGAATGTCCCTTAAACTTTACACCCCTATAATGAACAATGGATATTGGAATACGATGTAGTCTCACCACCTCTTCCAAAAATAAATCAACAACTTGTGTGGCTTCTTAGATTTTAGAACAAGGAGAGAAATCCGCCATTTTTGTGTATAATTCAATCTTGTAGGCTGGCAGATTAGTTAAACATGCTGCAGGAATAAAATCAAAGGCCTGTTGAAAAGTCAACATTGGAAGCATCCCTTCTGGTAGTTCCTTATTTTCTGATCCTTTAATATCTTCCAAGAGCTGCAGATTTTCATTAGGCTGCAATGCATAGAATTTTCTCCTCTTTGTTCTTCTCCCGACAGCTTATTTAGAACAGCATATATGATTTCTGCCTCTTGACTTTTAGCTTCAAATGGGTAGAACAAACAGAAACTAAGAACTCCGGAAAATTAAAGATGGAACCAAGAAAACTTAGGTTTTCAACCTCAAGTTTATTCTCAAACTAAAATTTCATAACAAAAAACTGATTTAGAGATCTAAAGGTAACTATATATACTAACAATAGCTAAGAATCCTAATTAAATTATAATTTGAACTTTTAATAAGCATTGAACTTCTAATAGGCTACTAATTCTAATCCTAATTTAAAAATGACTTTCCTAAAATTACAACTTAGATTTCAAATAAAACTCAAACTTAATGCAAAACAAGCAGCCCTAAAACTAATCATTAAAAAGAGCTCTATGCTCCTGCATCAAAACTTCATTCCTATAGATTGGTTATTGATGTGAGAGATCTTAACTAAGAGACGCTTAACAATTTTGTTTTCATTTCTATATTTTTTGAACTTTTTTTTTTTTTTTTTGGGAGGGAGGGTGGATCGGTGGATGTCACATTAAAGTGTATTTGAATGCTTATACAGCTCTATTTCTTAAGCTTCATCCAAAGATATTTTGCCAGACAATTACTGTTGGGTAGATACCCATGTTTTCAAAAATAAAAATGTTACATACCTGTTGTAGCAAAGCTAAAGAACTGCTTTTCTTTTTTGGAAATTTCAGAGGGAAGTTTATCCTGCACTGATGTTATTTCCAGCAGGGAGTAAAAAGGCAGTCTCCTATGAAGGAGATATGGTGGTAGCTGATATTGTCAAGTTTATAGCTCATTATGGAAGTTATTCTCGCCATCTCTTCAGTGAGAAGGGTAAGATCTGATTTTTGATGGCTTATGGTAATATATCATCAAAGAACTTGATTAAATTATCAATATGCTGTTCATTGAATTGTTCAGAAGTAACTATTATAACTTTTGATCCTGTGGTCCCCCTAATGGGGCTTGGATTTATGTTGGGTTTGGTTATTCTCGTTTTGCATTCTGAAGTTCTAACTAGAGCTCTTGTAGGAATCATGAATTCATGTAAAATAATCATAACCAACTTTAGGAATAAATTATCAAATTCAGAAGCTTAACAGAAAAAGCCCTTCTACAGAAGCTCCAATTGTAGCTTCAGTTTCTAGCCCTTTAGAAGTTGACAATGACTTTTGCAAAATCCAGAAGTACTTAGAAAATTGTGTTTTTTCTAGCTTTGGCTTTTGTGGCAAAGATCTTTTAAGAAGTTGGA